TTTGTGAGGACTCGGGAGGAGGGTGATTTATGATAACAAATTAAATCCTGTCTTTTGTAACGAAATCTAAGTTAAACAAGACTGTGTAAACATTTACATCTTTTATATTTTTGTTTCTGCAGAGGGTACATTAACCGACAATTTTCCATCATTGACGGATATTTTTTAAGAGTTGACGGAAAAATTTAAGGCCGTCCGTCATTTTGACAGTTGAAAATTGGGCCATTACCACAGCAGCAGTATGTCCTTAAGAATCTAGTGCGGCACTTTGATAGAAGCATAGAGACAAAGAAGAACAATGACGGGTGGATAATAGACAGAGACAGGAAGGAGTTCTTTGAATTGTCATTGCAAGAGTTTAGTACAGTATGTGTTGTGATGAGGCGACTTCTGTTTTTTTGCGAACCACGGTCTCTCGTGGCCAAAACTATTCACGGCCTCGAAATGCCTCAGCGCAGTGTGATGTTTGGGTAGCAACATCACAGTGATATTTATTTTTAAAAAGTCAGCGAGAGAGAAGCCTGGCCCGACCCGAAGCAATGATCAGGGATGAGAGTGGCTAGTGATGAAAAAAGCGGAAGGGGGCGTGGTCGGAACGGGGGCGTGGCTGGGACGGGGGCGGGGCCACTTACAAAAGTGGCTCTAAACATGCTGAAGATTAAGTGTATTCAATTTACACACTATTTGAAACTTTAACAGAAAAAAATCCCAAGATTGTTCACTATTCTTTCAAGTGAAAATTTGTGCAATTTTGCTTATGCATTCCTGGAGAGCACCAACATGTAACTTCAAATTTGCTGCTCAAAATCATAACTAAAAAAGGAAACAAGAAACCACACTCCCTGCCATATTTAAGATTTGTTCATTACTTGTATTCAAAAAGTGTTGTGTAAATGTGATAAAAAAGCTGTTGATTCTTACCTCATACAGTGATACAGTGAAACTCCTCTACAACGAAATCATGTTTGCAGCAAGAAATTTTTCACAACAGGGGGTTTTTCACTGTAGCAAATTTGATCTCAGATGTAAGCACACACACACCCACACACACAAACGTATGTGTACACGCACACACAAACGTTTGTGTACTCTATTTTTATTCCAATAGTACATAAGTATGAGCACACACTTATTTGACACTTCATATTGTCAGTGTAGAAAGAAAAAAAGGGAAAAAATTGCGAAATTTACGATCAGCATTCACTTTCACTTACATCAATTTCTTGGAAAATGTATTTTATTTTGCTTGCTCCGTCTTTCATTTTGATCACTTTTACCCTCTCTTCCAGCATCAGAGCTCTTCTTGTCTTAGCTGCTTGACATCAAAAGGTCCGTTTTGTAGCCATTTTAGCAATGCAACGTCCATCCTCGTCTGAATCTAACAATAACAAATACTTCCTGGCATGCAATGAACTTTTAAGCCAGCCACGGGGCGCTTCGTAGTCCTCGATGGCCATAGTTAGCTCTCGAAGACTAAAAACCTTA